GTCAACCCGTTTAAAAGTTAGCTAAATCCAAGTCAAGCTCAAGTACCTCGACTGTTTTACATATAAATAAGCCAAACTTTGCAAATTTAATCTGAGCTTTTTAGGCTTATTTTCTAAACGAGTTTAAAAAATTATTCAAGTTTGGCTCTTTTAAGACACGAGTTGAGTTTTATTTAAGTCGAGCCTGAGTAACTCGGCTCAATTATCAACCCTGCATTGAAGCCATGTTAAAAAACTAATGCTCAAACTCAGGTTCGCAATATTGTAAGAGAAATCTTCAACTAGGGTATCAGTTTTTCGAGACGACAAATGATCGGATTCAAATTGAATTTTCAAATCAACTCACAGTCTTATTCCAACATTTTTTAAGATCGGATTCATAATAAACGATAGTATTCGTCATCCAATTCTGGTAAGAATGCTCACCACACCATTGCTGCTACAACTAGTAAAGAGTTAAGGCCCTCTTTTCGTCATTTAAATGTAAACTTTCTTTGGTAAAAAATAACTCGTATTAGGTATGTTTAGGTTCCAAATATGTATATTGGATCTTGTATTATTGGATAAAATATGTTGGTTCTTGAAAAAGTACGTTTTGTAAAGAATATTTAGAAGTGACATTTGTAAAGAATAGTGAATCAAACTCAAGAGAGAGTTAATTAATCCTAGAGTGATTTCTATAGGAGGGGGAAGACTGTTGGACATCACATGTGAGAGATCATACCGCATCGGATTGAACATATAGCCTTGTACTTTTAAGGGGTTGATCTTAAGTTTCAAACATATGTATTCAATGTTAAATCATTTGGTTCTAATCTCCCAACACATAAATTTGTAAATGATGTAATCTTTCACGCATGAAAATAGTCGTTGCGAAAGAGAAAAGATAAAAAAAAAAAAAAAAAAACTACTAAATATAGTTTATTTCCTCTGCCAAAGAAGAAAGATTGCTTCCATTTTCCCATTTTTTTTTTTTTTGTTAATATACTAAGAAAAAAAAAAAGAAGAGAACCTTAAATGCTACGAAGAGAATGATAAAGTAGCAACCATATTATGAGAACATAAGAACAAAATGTGGTTCTCATTTTTATGCTAATCATCTTTGTGTAATTGGTTGCAGTATACAGACATGGTACAATCATTTTTTTACCTTTTTTCTGTTTATTTAGGTAAGAATAAATGAGGATTTTAATGTTGAGAGTTCATCACCTGAGCAAATTCAACAGCTCTGAAGGTAGGTGATATAAATCACAACAGTAACTGCCACCATCTATAGTGAAAATTAAGTTTACTAAAGTTACGACCCAATATGATAAATGATATGAATGATGAGGTTTAAAAATTTAGAATCTATCCATGAAAGATGAGATTGATTTTAAGTTCTTTAGATCAATTATGCCTTGATTATTTATTTTCATAATTTTTCTTTTCAATACAATTTTTAATCGTAATTTGACCTATATAATTCAGTTGCTCCAAAATCTATTGCTATCGATAGAAGGAATTCAATCGACAAACAATTTTCAGGCGACTAGTTATGAAGAGTTCTAATACCTTATTTCATAACTTGCTTGAATGAATTTTAATGGACAAAAACACACCGTACAAGGAACTAATAAAAGAAGATTCCTTTATTAATTCAGTCAAAAGAACTTCGGTTATAGAAAAGACTGGATTAATTTTCTTGATTACTACTACAGCTATTTCTTAAAACTAATCTAACACTATTCTTAAAAATGCCCAAATTGTGGGTCTTGTGAGAGTTTGAATGTATCCAAAATCCTCTCTATTACATATCTTTTATAGTTACTATCCTCGATAGGTTTTGCCTCTGTCGATGGTTATCTTGACTGATAACTTCTAGTTAATTATTTTTTCTTTTCAAACATGACTAGTTGATCACCTCCCGTCTTTCTTTAAATACTATCACGTGGCATCTTCTTAATACATTCAAATTTTGAACACGCTTGAGACTTTATATTTGAAGTCCAAACGAGATCATAACTTTCTATATGGCACTAAAAAAATAGTCGATACACTAAACAATCCATCCATATGTCAAATTTATATGGTGGTCGTGCTAACAAGTACCCACGGACACTTGTTTACTATGTTCACTTAATAATGAATTTTTTTGTAGTTGGGGTAATAACTCCTTTTTACACCACCATGTTAAAAACGTTATCGACTCAGACAAATCTCTTGGTGTGGTTTAACTCCAATGTATAAAAGCCTGTCGTCAACTTTAATTGACTGGTTTTGTCACTATCATCTTTCTATTTACTACGCTAGGAAAAAAACAAATTAGGTACCGCATCATTTATCAATTTTTTTTTTTGGATATTTACACCGATTTTCGAGTTTTTTTTATATTTACACTAATTTGTGAGTTTTTTTTTTTTTTGATTTTTACACCTATTTCGAGTATAATTTATTATCTTAAATGTTCCACATATTCTTTAAGAGTTTGGTTGTATACAACGGTGATATCACGTCAGTATTATCTTGTAGTATCGTCAACCAATAATATGCAAACAAATAAAAACCTCGGAAAATTGAACAACTTTCAAGATCTCCATGAAAGGATTGAGAGTTCTTCAGTGAATTTTGCAGACATGGCATACCCAACTGGTGATATTGACTCTCTGGGGCTTCAAAGTTTTATGGAAGGCTTTACTTACATGCAAGGTCGATAATGGTGATGGCCATAACTCATCATCAAACACTGTTGGCCAATCTGACATTGAAGAGAAGAAGAATTATTGGAATAGTGTTCTAACAAATTTGCTGAACTCTCCACCAGCAGGTTCTCCATTACTGTTCTAGCTTGATGACCAGATCAATAATGTTACTAGTGGTACTGACAAAAAATGGTTCATAATAAAGTGTCATTCGATTATCAGCAAGTGCAATAATGATATTCCTTATCTAATTATAAGTATTAATGACATGATTATTTTTACTTTGAAATGTCATTAGCAACTTGTTTATTTCCTTTTCCAAATTTTAAAATCTGCCACCATCGATTTTGAGGTCTTTTTCAAACATATTTATTTTTCCATGTCTATAAAAATAGTTTCATTGATTAAAAAAAATTTCGATATATAATATTGTTGAATGAAATCAAATATTGAATGGGACTGGCGAAAGATAGAAAGTAGGAATGAAACATTTTCCTTTATTTGTGTTTGATTGGATAGATGAAAAATAAAAATAATCAATTTTTTTTTTAATGGAGTACTGCTAAACGAGCTCGGACCACATAACTTGTGGTGGATAAGACATGCATGATTTGGAATGTCTAGCAAACTGCTTCAAAAACCTAAAGATTGAACATTATATTCTGGCCATGATTCAAAAATAAATTTAAAAAATGTGTATTATATTATGACCAATATCAGTTGAAATTCCACTTGAGAGACTTGACTACGGTAGTAAAGAAAAATTGTGGCCGTATTTCTAACTTTTACTATTTTAATAGATATTTTTATAATTTTTGTGGGCCATTTTACAATAAAAAAATTTATCACTATTATGGATGTTTTTATCACATAAGTGGTAGTATTTTTATCATTTTTCTTCTATACAATTTTTTTTTTCACTTTTGTAGGTGATTTATTACATTTGTGAGTATTTTTACCATATTTATAGATGTTTTTACCACTGTTGTTGTAATTATTTTTACTATTTTTTCTATATAACAACAGTAATAAAAACACTCACAAATATAATAAATAAAAGTATGATACAAAAAAAAAATCGGTACCGTAGTCAAATTCCCGCTCGAGGGAAATACTATGGTATTAAATTGGTACTATACTAAAATTTATAATTTTTAAAGTCAAAATTATAACTTTTTAAAATCAAAGTTATATAATTTTGAGGTATAAGTTAAAACTATAAAAATTATAATTATTTTTAAAATATTATGATCAATTAAAGAAATCAATATTTTTTAAGCAATGCTACAGAGACCTTATTTGGGGACATTATTTAAGAATCTAATGATGTGGCTTCATTGCAATAATTAGATTAATTGTGAGTTCTACCAATCTAATGATTGTACATCATTAGATCCCTAAATAAAGTCCAACTAACATTTTCCTATTTTTGTAGGTAAAATTACAATTTTTAAAAATTAAGTAACACTTTTAAAAATGAGGTTATAAGTAAAAGTTTCACTTTTAAAAAGTGAAACTTAACCTTCAAAAAATAGTTAAAAATTGCCAGAGAGTTTTTGCTGTTTCAAAACACTCGGGCATTCTTTTCATACCTTTTTTTTTTTTTTTTTGGTACATAAAATCGATATTTAGATAGGTCATTCCAACGTACTTTTTTTTATTCGACATTTATTTAACATTTAAGATCACTCCACGTATTCGTCAAAAAATATTGTCCCTCAGCATCACATAATTATCTGCATAAGACCCCACTGCACCTACGTTGAAGTCAAAGTTAAGATCCCACCGAATATTTTGGGCACTGAAGAGTAAATTTATCCCCAATGAACTGTCGCAATTATGAAAAATCGAGTCCAAATATTAAACAAAAAAATTCAAACTCGTATCCACTGAGCTAAGAGCTCGTTGGTCGTTCATAGTCATGTCCAGAAAATGCACACGGAAAAAGGGACAACAATGTTGTCTACTTTATGAGGAAAAGGAAGCCACAAGATAACCAAATGGATTCCTTTGGTTCAGCCATTTTAGCATTCTATTCATGATCAAAAAGTAGGACAATCCATTGGACGGCAATGATTAGGCTATTGGTGGAGTGAGGACTACATTATCAGGCACCTGAAGCCTATTTGTTTTCCCACTTGGATGAAAAAAAAAACCCACTCCATAGTTCATATATAGGAACTAGGAAGTCATTAAGGGTGATGTGGTACTCCTCATAAATTTTCTTGGTACACTGCTCATATGTTATTTAATGCTTCATCTTTATCTGTTGTCACCACTCTCCAGCATTTTCAAACCCCTTCTCTCTCTCTCTCACAGATGGGAAGGTCATCATGCTGCGACAAGGCGGGTTTAAAGAAAGGGCCATGGACAGCAGAGGAAGACCAGAAGCTCTTGGCTTACATTGAACAACAAGGCCATGGAAAGTGGCGTGCCTTGCCGGCAAAAGCTGGTAAAAATGCACTACATTTTTTTTTATTGGGAAAAAATAGGTACAATGTAAGTCACAACATGTCCAAAGACTTACCGAGTTATTTAATTTCTAACGATACTTAAGAATAAACGACGAATAGACAAACGACTAAATTAAAGTTCTTCTCACATTCTTTTTGTTTAGAGGACAAATGTATAATATAGACTAAGATAACTAAATTTAGCTTAGTAACCTGAGAGTAGTCGCACAAACAACCCTATTACTTGTATTAGGTGGTGTTTGTATTGTATTTCTAGGGCTCCAGAGATGTGGGAAGAGCTGCAGACTGAGATGGATAAACCACTTGAGGCCAGACATTAAGAGAGGACAGTTCAGTTTACAGGAAGAACAGACCATCATTCAACTGCATGCCCTTCTTGGAAACAGGTAAGAAATAAGCTATGTTATGTAAAATCTGTTAATAGCTCCCCAAGCTTCAGAATATATGTATAGAAGGTAGCTATTAACAGATGATATATATGTATATAAGGAACAGCTTTATACTGTATCTTACATTCAGCTACGTATGTGATATTTCATGCATAAATAATATCTCAGTGCTTGGGACAATACAATGCTCTAGCCCATCACCGAGTGGGTGGTCAAGTAAGATATCGGCCGAACTTCTCACTTTAAAATTAGAGGTTAGAATCTTAACGTCCACATTGAGGTCAGTGGTTAACCGTTATGCTACTTTAGCTAGGTTCGTTTACGAGAAGAGTAACGGATACGATCAAGAGCTTCATAATCTCACCAATGAGAACCTATGGGATGATCTCTGGGCGCTCTCATTTATCCTCACCTCTTTTTTCAAGAGCAAAAAAAAAATGCTATAGCCCAAAATGTCCATAATGGTTCATGAAAATTAAAACAAATTAGTGTTTGAAAATCAAAATTTTTATGTGTCTAGTTATATTGAATTGTTTCAGAATATTTCGATCTATGTTTGTGGAATGTTTTGAAAATAAAATTTCAAATTCTTTTTGTCAAAATATTTTTGTTTTCAAAATCAGAGAAACTATGTTCAAAACAAAATCTCAAATGATGATCGCTTTCGAAAACCCTTGTTCAAGAAAACTATATCATCAAGAACACTGTCATGATTTTTTATAATTTAAAAGTCTTAGTTTCAATTTTTTCCTACATTCTTTGAGAGTTAGTCACATTTATCCTATTGGAAATATGTTTTAACTCAGTTCAAATCATGGTGGTCAAAAATAATCAAGGTGACCCTAAACACCCAATAACAAAAATTGTCTTTGTATTACCATCATTAATTACAAGTGGTCTTGAGAATTGATCTGTCTCATTTTGATTCAGATGGTCAACCATAGCAGCTCAATTGGATAGGAGAACTGATAATGAGATCAAGAACCACTGGAACACACACCTCAAAAAGAGACTAACTAAGATGGGCATCGATCCGGTGACTCACAAACCGAGAACCAGCGCCCTCAGCTCCGGCCCGTCGAAGGACGCTGCCAACCTCAGCCACCTGGCCCAGTGGGAGAGTGCTCGTCTTGAAGCCGAAGCAAGACATGGCCGAGACTCCAAACTGGTCTACAATTCTTATAACCTCCATCTCCGCCTCTACGCTTCCGCTCAACTCCTTAACAAGGCCTTGGTTCCACCACCACCAACATGGCAAGAGGGGTGGTTAAATTCAAAACCAACAGAAGATATTGCCATTCGAGGTGGCTTTTTAACTCCTGCCGGCAGTCTTCTGTCTCCGATATCAACGTTGAATTTCGCAGAGAATACGTCCATGATCCCTAGTAATAAATTCATTGTCAATTCAACGACAGCAATAAACAACTTCGTCGAGAACCTGGGCTCGATCAAAGGTGGTGGAATGATAAAAGGTGATTTCCAATGCCCCGGACAGTCGAACAACTTTCAAGAACTTCATGAAAGGATGGACAATTCTTCAGTGAATTTTGCAGACTCTTTGGGGTTTCAAAGTGTCAGGGAAGGCCTCACCTACATGCTGGTGGTCGATAATGGTGATGGCCATAACTCATCAAACACTGATATTGTGATCGGAAACTGCGGTGATGATTTTGAAGAGGACGAGAATTATTGGAATAGTATATTGAATTTACTCAACTCGCCACCGGCAGGTTCGCCGGTGTTCCGATAAACCATCAGATTAATAATGTTTAGAAAAATGTGTCTTAGAAGTGTCACTTTGATAATTAAGCCTCAAATGCAATGATAGTTCTACTAATCTTATAAGTACTAATGACTAAGATTACTTCTACCAAGTTATTAGTAATTTTTTTTTAATCTTTTCAAGAGTTTAATTAAAAAGTAAGTGAGATATATGCCTGCTGGATGCTGTTGCAAAAGCACGTTGTTGGATAACACTGGCGTTAGACGTTGGGTGAGTTTTTTAACTCAAATTCGGCACTTAAAATGAATATATTCAACACTTATTAATTAAACTTATTTAATAACTAAAATTTAAAATCTCTTAATATGTTAAGTACTCTTTAAAAATAGACTGCAATATTAAGTAGAAGATTCCGTACTTAATTTTAAAAATACTTAACAAAATCATTTTTAATAATATTTAAAATATGACAATTATACCCCAAAATATTTTACAATCCTATTAAAACTCTAATTAGTCTTCTTTTCAAAACTCCTAACATATATATTCTCCTTGTCAATCTCTTCTTTTTTTTTCTTTTCCTTGTCTTCTGTAACAAAATTATACATACATAATTACAATTACACATACAAAAGTATACACATAATTACACACAGACATATGCACTGCACACACACATACTTACACATACACACACGGCGCACACACATATTGTTAATGAAATCTAATTTATTGTATTTTTTTCAATATTATTTAATTATTTATTATTTATTATTCTTTTTTTTTTATCAGATGTTATTGTTCACGTATTATGTTATTCAATTTGTTATTGTTCATTTATTATGATATTCAGATATTATTTATTAATTTATTTTGATCAAATATTTGTTAAAGGTAGACTACATTATAATAATAGTGATTATGATTTGTGTTATGACATTTTATAAATATTTTTAAATTAAATAGTAGAAGGATAAAATTAAAAATTAATTTATTTTTAGACGTCAGTTCTGTGTAGTTATCAAACAGTTTAGTTCAATTCAGTACTTAAATTTCAATAAATACCAAACAGTTCATAAATTCAACATTCACCTTTTAATTTTTAGACTTCAAATTTTATTTTTCAAATTTTATTTTTCAATTTTATCAAACGCAACCGTTAATGGACACTCAAAATGGCGCAACAAAGCAGAAAAAGTCAAATATGCACATACAGCCTTTTATTGCAGCTGCTTGATCTTTATGACAAAATGGCATCTACCGTGATCTGCATTACAGATTCTACCAGTATGTTGTTCATGATATCCTAATCACAGTGACCAACAGATCCCCCGCCCTTGAGCCTGTAAGCTGGTAGCTAGGTCCATGCATGAACAAACAAAGTGCCTCTGAGTTTTGCCTGCAAAAATAGTCCATGGTAGTAACTGAGATGTATGCCTGCTGGCTGCTGTTGCAACAGCATCTTGTTTATCCTTAGCTATTGTAAGTTGACTTTTAAAAGATGTATTTTTTTATGATTGATTATAATGTTTTAAGATCGATTATAATTTTTTGAATTTGTAAATTAAATAATTTTAAATTGAAACTTAGACCTTTTTAAATTTATTAATGTTAGTACCGTTGTCGTCCTCTTTCTTTCAAGAAGAAATATTAGATAATAGAGTAAGTTTGTGATCCTATGGAAAACAATGCACCATCTTCATCGTGCACATGAATATGTATTATGTATTCATTCGCCTATCCTTTGGGAGCAAGATCTCATGTGACATTATGATTCAAAGTATTGGTTAATGTTGATATGATTTGGTTGAATCGTATCCGGAAATACGTTCTGCTTCAAAATCATTGCACATATGTGTCACTTGACTCATGCTTGATTCTAAAACTTCTTGGACGACAAGGGCAAATTATAAAATTACAACCGTAAAAAGTATGATTGATTCTAAAATGTCATAATTGATAATAAAAGTTACAACTTTCGAAAAAGAACTTACAACTGATTCAACGATCGATCATAACATTTTATAATCAATCATGAATTATCTCAATTTGTTGTAATTTCACCTTTCAAAATAATGAATTTACCATTTAAAAGTTACTTTTAGTATGATATTAATTTTTTTTGTACAGTAGTCTTTCCCCTAAAATCATTGATACACTTGTATCACTTTCAACATTTCCAAGGAAACAGATGAGGCCATCTACCAAGTGCATCAATTCTTCGTTTTTGCATTACAGAACTGTTATGTGTTTTGTCCTAGGTTAATACTGTGATGGCAACAATGCATGTACTTGGAAATAGGTAACTATGCACATCAAAATCAAATTTATGTTGATTTTCGGGGGGGGGGGGGGGGTGTGGTTGGGGCATCTCTTAAGGGCAAAGCATTGTTCCTCCATTAATGGGGGACACATTTAAGTGAGCCCTTATGGACCATGCAGTACACACATAATACCCATGTATGTGATGGTGTTAAAAAAAATACTATCGCAAATAAAAGGAAATTAGTAAACTAGACAAATAGTCCTTAAACTATGATCCTTGTGTCAATTTAGTCCCTGAACTAACTTTTGTGTCAATTGAGCCCCTAAACTAATTTTTGTGTCAATAGAGCCTCTAAATTATTTGAAGAACCTACATTTATGCAATATATTTTCTACACCAAATCAAAGAGTTTCTTGATTTATTTCATTTGATGGGTATAAAAGAGGTTTAGGTTTAGAGTTTCAGTTGAAAGGTATAAGAAATGAGGTTCTTCGTCTGATAAATTTTGAATGAACTGTCTAAAATACCTCTAATTTGTTGTCTATGTGGTGAGAATTCCGCTAAAAAATGTAACAGAATTTTAACTTAAAAGTTGTTGACGAAGGGGCTTAATTGTTACAATTTAAAATTTTAGGGGCTCAATTAACACGGAATTAGTTCAGGGACTTAATTGCTAAAATTTTAAAGTTTGAGAGCTCAATTGAAAAAAAAATTAGTTTAGAGACTAAATTAATACAAATATCATAGTTTAAAGGTCACTTATATACTTTTCTCAAAGAAAATTACCACAGGCCCATCCATATTCAAGAGACCAGTTCTATGTCATGAACCACACCATCTTCACCATGTACATGAGAATTTATATGGCACATGGGATCAAAGATCTCCAGTGACGTAATGGCTTAAAGTATTGGCTCTAATAATGATACTATTCGATCGTATTTAAAATGTTTCTGTGTTAAAATTGATGCATTTTATAAGCCACTCGTCAACTCGTTGATTCAGATGATTTGAGCAAATTGTTCAAGTTTTAGCATTAGCACTGATGACAATAATGTATGCTAATTTATCTATATCATAAGAGTGCCACGATGATTATCATATGAGGGTGTCGATGCTTATTTCAGACAAGAGCCTAAGACACCGTATAACTTACTTAATGATTAAATCGATACGAGAGTGAAACAAGCCAAAAAAAGAAAAAGGTCAGAAGTATAGATACACCTGTATATCACTTTAAAAGTTTCTCAAGGAGACGGATGATGCCTACTCCCAAGGACATTAACTCCTAACTTTTTTCCAAGTACATGAAAATTGGTTAGATATCCACATCAAAATTATGTTGACGAGAGCACCACGTTGTAGACACATGTAATTGATTCCTTACAGACCTTGCAGGGTGCACTCAATCAAATTGTAGGGTGGGAGAGAGCGAGGGAAGTGAAGAATAGTACATGTTGCCTAACTCATTTGGGTGGTTGGGATGAAAAGACTTCAGGAGCTAAGCCAAATTTAACTCTTTTTATAAGGATAGGTTAAGGCCATGGTATTGGCCTTGATATTACGTAATGAAATATGGCCCTACAAATAATTTATATAATAAAATGACTTATAATTTAAATCTTAAAAAAAAAAAAAATGACTCTTGTTATTAGCGGTTGAGATAGCTTGAAATTTTATTTTAAAGTTAATTTAACGGCTAATATTAACACCCTAAATTTAATAGGAAAAATAGGCTCTTAAGGGTGTGTTTGGAGTGATTTTTTAAAAGTAATTTTAAAAATTATTTTTCATAAATACTTTCAAAAAAATAGTGTGTGAAATCATCCCACCACTACCGCCACTACCACCGCCACAGTCGCCGTTGTCCCCACCACCGCCACTATCTATTCTCAATGTTTGTAATTTGATTTTGGATATGAATACAAATATATTTATTCTATACCATTTTTTATTACTCTGTATTTTCAGGTACAGACAATAACTAGTAAATAAATATGATAGAAAGATTCAGAGCATATGATAGAATCGCAGAATAGTTTCGAGTGACATGCTGTGAGTCAATTTTGATACTTTGAACGATTCTCTCCAATTCAACAACGAGTCAAATGAGGCTGATGATTTACATGAAATGTAAAATGATGGTAGAATCAAAAGTGCCAAATTAGGTACAATTTGATCCAGTTGTATTGTAGTCGATCAATCCTTTTAACACCGCATGTGAGAGGGTAGTTAACTTAAACGCATAATATTAAAGTGATTATGTGCATTTAGAGTTTCTCTATAAGCATATCCTAAAACAAATGTATGTAGAACATATAGAAATTAGACCCAAACACGACCCACATATGTTAGATTTACGAATGTAACCGTTCGGGATACAAAATTAAAAAGTTTAGTATGGTTAAATTAACCTGAATTAGTAACCCGGGTCAATAAGAAAGAAACGGGCAAAAAGCTCACTTCCTTACAAAATAGACTGTTGATTGATAAATACATGAAATAAACCATTTCCAGCACAAAAATTCTGCAGTTCTTTTTTCTAAGATTTTTCATCAAAAAAATAGTCCAATTTACGAAATTTTTTTTTTTTTGATAATTAAAAAAGAAGTGGGGATAAAAAAAACACTCAAAGATTACTCCGATAAATCTTTATTGTGGGATCATTAGGTTTTTAGTCATACCCGTAATTTTTTTTTAAGAACAAACTTAACTAAGTTGATATAATGATCGATCATTGAAGTTTCGTGTGAACTCTAAA